CAGATTCCTTGTCCAGCCGTGAACTCTCTGAACTACAATACCAGACAAGCTGTGCCCACCGACTGGTTCAACAGCGGCATGACTGTAGTGGAAGTAACCAATGACTCCATGCTTGTCTGAGGCCTACTCCACAAGAGGGAACCCAAGCCTACCACTATAAACCTGGTACAATTCTCCTGACTAGAAGGGTTTGGGGCCACCAGAGAGGGAACCTACTATGGTAATTTATTGATTGACATAGGATCAAATCACCTTCTAAATAGCTATGTTTATACCCACAGAGAAAGGCTGCTCTTAAATTCAGTGAAGTCTCTCTTTGCGGTGAACGGAGGTGAATGTAGAAACCCATGCTGCACAAGATGCTGAGAAAAAAAAAGAAAGATGAATGCTCAGCCCTAGTCAAGATATATACTACCCATGTAAGGCTCACAAGCATTGCGTTAGTGAGGCAGGGAGAATACAAGAGCAGGAGACAGGGAGAAGGATTGTAAAGACCGTCTTCTAAGCCTGACACTGTCATGGCAATCATGAACACAGAAGCCGTGCTCACTGGCGCTGGGCCTGAACCAATCGAGCCTGCTCAATAATCAGCTATGGATGGCAAAGGCTCTCATGGGACTCTACCACTTACGGCTGAACTATGGCAGCTAAGAGACCCCAGGAGAAGGGAGGCACAGTACACAGCTGGGTAGCCACTGGTGAGCCCTTCAGGCTCTAACAGGTAGTTTCAAGCCCAGGGTCACACAGATGGTCTTAGTAAACTCTGTAGGACACAAAGCAGACATGAATACAGTAGAGAGAAGTATAGGGAAGAAGTGGGACTGAGAGGGTGGGGGGGATACTGGGGGTAACTAAAATACATTAGAAACACGTACAGAACTGTCTAAGAACAAATTTCTTTAGAACAAATAAAGCTTTACCTATAGCAAGGTGTAAAATTGCGTTGAACTCTGTGCAGAAAGGGTCAGTCCCAAACTTCAGTGAGAGGGACATACTTCCTGAAGGAGCTACCCAGGAACTGTGGGGACATCACAGGTGAGTGACGCTACTCATTCACTGATTCCTTTACCAGATCCTTCCTTCCTTTTCTCATTTCCTACCACAGAAATTCTCAAGAGGTAATGTCAGAATCACCTGTTGCCTTTTCAAAACTAAACCTTCTCACCACTTACGTGGCCCATATCCCATACCCCTCACTACCTCACACTGAAGCAGAGAATGTCTCTTTGGTGGCTAGTCTCTGTGGCTTGCAGGCTCCCAGCCAGAGACTACATTTCCCAGCTCTCTTTTCACTAGGTGCAATCTTGTAGCTGGGACCCATCAATGAATAAAAGAGGTGAAAAATTCATTTCCAACTTCAGGTCCTTTATTAGTTCTAGGAAGACGCACACATCCTATAATCAAACATGACTGACCATCATTTCTTTCCTTTGTTCCATCTATTTCTCTGCTTTTTTGTGCAGCCATTTCTTTTGGCTAGAAATTCTCTGTGGAGATGGGCCCAGAAGTGAGAAATGGAAGTCACACTCTATGAGCGATGACAAAGGAGAGTCACGGAGTGATAAAGTAGAAGAAAGAAAAGCCAGAGCCCAAATTGGTTAGTTAAAAATGAATAGGAACAAGAAACAGTAGTATATAAAATTGCCAGGAGGCAGCCTTTTGTAACAGTTATATTTTATAAGCTCCATGTCAGCCTGGTAGTGACACTGTTGTCTTGTCCTCCTCAACAACTATGATGAATCTCACAAGAAGGGGATAATTGCCCTAGGGTCACAAGACTTCAGAGCTTATCCTCTGAGCTCAAGGATAGGTTGAGAAACAAAGGTCCCGATTCTATCTCAAACATCCTTCAAGTTAGGCGCCCATCATCCTTCAGTGTATAAGCCCATGTAGATGAAAACCACAGCTCAGACATCCCTCAATACCAATAAGATACTCAGATCTGAAAGATGGAGAAAGCCATTAGGCTTGGGTGCAAACAAAGAGATCTCAAGGAAGATCCAGCCTCAAACTGCATCTTCTCTATGGAAATCTTTGGCGAATTTAGTCTCTTTCTGTATGCTAATCTATCTCTGCCGATGAAAAATCTTCTTAGTTCCCAAGAAGAGACTTAAAAACTTACTCTATTTTTGACCCTCACATAGTTATTAAGTATTTTCAGAGGAAGGTTCAAGGGAACTTTGAGTTGTAGAAAATTCTAACAATCTACCAAAATCCTGCATGGAAATCTGGATGCACACCCACCTTGGCCCACAGAGAGAGGCACAGAAAGGGCCCTCCACCCTGCTCCCCCATCCCACACTCCGACAATCACTCAGCTTCCGGGTACTGTTGTCCCAGCCTTGTTGAAGGCTGTACACTTCTGCATAATTTACTCCACATGTTTGTTTGTTGGACCTGCCAGAGGCATCGTCGTAAATGTTTCAGTGCCTTAAGTTTTGATGAGCTTTCTTTAGAAATAACTGTGCCCAGGGTGGTTCATAGAATAGTAAATTAACATCCGTCTATCCATACACCTCCTCCTGGCCCAGGTCTCCTTAGTTTCAGTGTTCCCCATAAAACATTCATGGCCTAGAACATCACAGACAGTGCCAGGCAGGACTGGGGGATGGGTCCTGCATCCACACTGAGTAAATATTTGAGTGACAATATGTTCTATGAGGTGACTCCTAGGAACTAGTTAAATAGGATTCTATTTTAAAGCCCTCCCTCCCTACACCCACTCTCTCTCCTCCTTTCTCTCCCTCTCTACATCACTTACACAAATATTCTTAACAGCTCAATGACTTAGGGATGGTCTGAGTAAGTGACTCTTGGTGTATCCATTCATAATGTCAGTGGTGAGCATTCTTGTGTTTTCCCCAAATGTTTACCTCTCTACTCTCCAATGCGCTTTCACCTCTTCAGCCAAGCTGGGTGGGCATGGTCTGAGGCTAGCAGAGTTTAGAAACAGACAAAGTACTGACTGGACTTTCATGCCAGGATTCTACGAGATACTCTCAGATCCACTATCTATGTAACCCACCCCCCTGCTTCCATTCCCTGACACAGGGAACTGATTTCTAATAACCATCCATCCCAGAATGATTTATTGACTGGCCTTCGGGTATCGTGAGCCAGTGGGAGGTACTGGTGGAAAACTGGAGGGTGGATCGTTGAGAGATTTGAGGAATCTCTCCCCAGTGCTCTATCTGCTTTAGACTGTACCTCCAGAGGGGCTGCTCTCCCTGCAGGGCTCCAGTTCCCATCAGGTGATCCTGACTCCAGGTTCTGATGCCGTCACTGTCCTTTCTCCTTCCAGTGCAGACTGGCAGCTCCTCCCCACTGTTGCTCATCTCTCCTTGCCTCAGTGTCCCCAGTTTGCCTCAGCATCACTTCCTCTAACAACTGTATAATTAGTTCCTTGTGTTATGGTCCTTCCTACTGCTCTATGAAGAATGAGCTTTGCTTTGCAGGCTATATATAATATATATTTATATTATTATATTATATTATAAGATAATTACTTTATGGAAGAAAAGGATGCATAGGCTAGAATTAGAACATGAATGAACTCTCAGAGGGTTGACAAGTAAAACCCAGCTCTGCTTCTCATTCTTGCCATCTATAATTAACATCTTACTTCGATTTATAACTCTGCCATCTTATATGAACAGAGGAAAAGATTAGACTGGCAATGGGGGACTTTAGGAAATTGCCTAACTGTCTAGGACAGGGTATTCTAGATAAAGATTTGATCTGCCTAGGAAATAAATCCAACCAATTCTCTTATTAACAGTTCCAGACTCCATCATACTCCTAACACAACATATATCTCTGCTTATCTTCCTGAGTTCCCTTTACTGTCTGCTGCCCCTCTTGCTGACTTTGGGTAAATAGTGTCACTCTGCTAGGATTTACAGAGCCCCTCACTACCAGGCAGCACACTGTCTCTTACCATGTTTCCATGAAGTACTATAGTACTCCCTGCCTTTCATTCAGGGGATCAGCAAGCAAGACATTTTAGAGTGTGTAAAGATCTGATAAGGGAAGACCCAGGAGCTCCAAGTTAAGAGAACACTGTGGTTTTTCCACATGTAGACTCAATTGAGCAAGTGATTGCTTTTACTGAATCTCAGTTTTCTCATCTCAGAATTGGGGACCATTGGGGTTTGAAACTGAATATTACTGTAAAGCTTTGAACATATTGAACACTCTATAAATGTTACTTTCATCATCATTATTACTATTTCTTTGATGTCAAGATCCTTAAAAGTCACTAAGAGCATCTATAAGACTAATAAATTAATGCTACAGAAGTTACATAAGGAACAGTCCAATTCCTAAGGATGGGCTGATGACCAACATCATCATGGCACTATCAACCAAAAAATGATTGACTGTCAGAAGGGCAGAGGCTCTAATGCCTATTTTCTCCATGAGACAAAGGTGCAGAAGAGACCCCCATAAAGGGGCTGTACTGCATGGTTAAAATGCAGTGGTAATTCCAGGTTCTGACTCGGAGTATGCTAACCTCTGGGCCTCACCATGTTGGCCCTCCTCAACAAGGATACATAGTTACCACCTTATTACAGTGGAGAACCTGTCATTTCAAATGAGTGTCGTCATGATATGATGTTTATTGTTGGGTGAATTTTATATTTTTTAATCAGTGGATATAGCCAACAACATACTTGATGATGAAAGATGGTTTTTTTTTCCCTAAGATCAAGCACAAGACAATTCCATTCTCACTACTTTTATACAACATCATGTAGAACAATGGAAAAAACTGTCTGGATGTAAATTCATTTATTTATATTATATTAATTTTATGAGAGTGTCAAAAAATTCAGTAGGTAAAATACTCCCTTAGTAGACAATAGAGTATCCACATGCAAGAACTTCATTTGGATTTTCTATATCATCTACAGAAATTAGTGCAAGTGTTTATAAACCTAAGTATATGGGTTAGAGCTATAACATTCCTCATGACAATGAGCTAGGCAATAATTTCTATTTTTAATATGGAAGGCTTCATAAACTTGTGTGTCATCCTTTTACAGGGCCATGGAATCTTCTCTGTACTGTTCCAATGTTAGTACGTGTGTTTAGAAGCAAGCACTGTGCAATTTCTTACACATGACACAAGAGCACAATTGACAAAGGAAAAATAGGTAACTTGTGATTTAAATGGTATCATCAATAAAGTAAAAATAAATGTTTATAAATTATGTTATCTGATGTAGGGCTAATGTCCCAGATATATAAAAAAAAAACCTCTATTTTAGAATGAAAAACCAATTAACATAATTCTTAAATAGGTGGAGGATTTAACTAGACATTTTTCTTAAAAAGACATAGAAATGACCAATAGCATAAGAGCATCTGTTAGGCATCATTATTCATTAAGGAAATGCAAATTAAAATATCAATGAGATACTACTTTTATCAATAGGATGAATAAAGTTAAAACACACCTGATAAGTGTTTGATGTGGAAATGGCATAACCACTTATCAGAGGTTAACATATGACCCAGTAATCCTACTGTTAGATACACATGTATGTATATGAAAATATAAACACATAGTGAAGCAAAAATCAGATACAAACATTCATAGCATTACTAGTTATAATTGGAAAAAGGGAGATCACTCAAACATCCATCAACCAACAGATGGATAAATAAAATAAACCAAATCCCAAACATGGTACACTACTTGGCGATACAAATCAGTGAGATACTGATAGAAGCTATGACATGGGTCCACTTTCCCAAGGGAGAAGCTAACCACCACATATTAAGTGAACCCATTTGCACAAAACTCCAGAACAGCACATCTGAAGACACTGAAGAAATATCAGTTGTTTTCCACAGCTTGGCAACTGGGTAAGAGGAACATTTTTAAAAGTTTTATTCAAGTTTTGCTTTGTGTTGCGCTGCTTTACTTTGCAGTGCTGGGGTGTGAACTCAGGAACTTATGCATTTTAGAAAAACATTTTACCACTGAGCCACATCCCCAGCTGGGTACAGGATTTCTCGTTGGAACAATAAAACTGCTTTGAGCATATATTGTGTGGAACAGCTGCATAAATCCATGAAGGTACTGGAAACAACTGAACTGTATGGGTGAGTTTTATACTGTGTATTTTTTTTTTTTTGATATTTTGAGACTAGGTCTCATATAGCTCAGGCTGACCTCAATGTATTAAGTACTGAAGGAAGGTGGCCTCTAACTCCTAACCCCCCTGCCTCTGCCTCCCAAGCATGGCATGTGTCACTATGTCCACATCAAACCTGGGTGATTTTTAGAGTATGAGAATTAAATCTCAATTTTAAATGTACGTGATATGTTCAAAAATTTAAAAGGGAAAAAATTGGTGGGTCTCTGGGGTTAAAGAGAACCAGCGGCTGGCTCCCCCCAAACAGCTGTGGGATCTTAGGGGGTGTCCCATGTCAATCTGAGCCTCAGTAAAGGATAGTGTCTTTACCACTCAATTGGAAGGTATGTGTGGAGAGAAGATGGAGTTTTGAGGTGACAGTGAATGGATGTCCAGGTGAACCACTGGGGTGAAAACAGTGCATGCACGCAAGCCTAGCTAGACTTTGATTCTTAGTTCCAGTCTGCTCCCTGATCAGGTGCCTTTCATAGCCATCCCATACTCCCTGATGCCCCAAAGCATGGTCTCCAGTGGGGACTGACCACAACTCTTCCTCCAAGAAAGAGAAGCATCCTTTCCATCAGATACCAATGCAGCAACATGTCCACCATCACTATAACCCATCAACACTTAGATTTATAGCACAGGAAGAAGCATTTACAATATTCCCAGAATTGAAAGAACAAGAAAAGGATTCTGACAAACACAGGCCATGTTTATCTCACATTGTTCATTGGGAAACTCATTTCCTCCCACTGCCCATTAGATGTTTTGAGCTTTGCATTCTCAACAGGGTAGTGAATAGAGATGCTGAACTGAATGCTACAATATAAACATATGCATCATTCATAATGCATTCAGATGTTTTTTAATTATTCATAGTTCCCGAAAGTTATTTGACCTATCATGCATATATATTCAAGCAATATTTATATTAGAACCACAGTCCCACTGTACAGAATTCCAGCTCATTGGCATTCCCGTCTATGGAATTAAAAATTAAATGAGTCAGAAGTGGAGAGATGGCTCCATGGTTAAGAGCACTTCCTATTCTTCCAGAAGAACCAAATTTGATTTCCAACACCCACACCAGGCAGTTCACAACCACCTGGACCACCAGCTCTGGAAGGATCAGCCATCTCTGGCTTCTGCAGGCACCTGCACTCACATGCATATCCACACACACATTTGTCATTGAAAATAATAAAAGATTATTTTAAAGAACTGAATGAGTCACTGGTCAGTAAAAGCTGTGTGTGAGTTCTGTAAGGTCACCCATGGTATGTTGTTCTAGGGTAGAGGAAGAAAGTTCCATGGAGTTGCTGAAGCTGATGGAACACAGAATATACACTTTGTGACAAAGGTGACAGTGACCGCCAGCCTTTTCTAAGACCAAATTCACCATTTCTCTGACTAATTGGTATTCTTGGACTTAGTCTAGAGGAGAAAAAAACAAAAAAACCACAGGTCCCCGCCCCCTTCTATTTAAGTCTTATTTTCTCTTTTAAAAAAATGCTAGTATTCTGGGCTCAAAAACACCACATTCTTCTGTTTTGGTATTTGCATAAATTTGCATGTTAACATGAATGGTTGCAACTTAAAGAATGCAAAATATAATAAAATTTGAATTCATATCCAGGATGAAGAAAAGACACATTGAAAAACAACAGATTTTCACTCTTGTTGATTTTTTTTTTCAGAAATGGGATTTAGGAAAGACATAAACACACAATCTTGATTTAAAAGCAGGGTTGCACTCAGAGACAGGTACTGCCAAGGGGACACACACACACACACACACACACACACACACACACACACACACTCATCGTAAGTATTTACAAACGGCAGCAATTCCTTAAACCCAAAGAACATCGCATTCCTTCCTCCTTGTGGCCCACCCAGAAGAATGAAATGTATGGAACATCATGTGAGTAACTCAAGCAAATACAGGCATGCTTTTGCCTCTGTGGGACCTAAGAACTGTTTCCTGCTTTATCCTTTGATTTCTCAAGTGCATTTATTCTGAGGACCGTGTGTCAGGATGGTTAAATGCAGAGACAAAGGTTAGAACTCCTGACATAGCTAAATGTATTGGCTGTGTGACTTCTAGCCACTGACACAATCTTTAGATATAACTTTTCTTCATGGGCTCTCCTTTACACAGCATTTTTACCAGCTTTGCAGGTTTATCATGAGAATAAATATGAATAGAGTGAACCTAGGCCAGTGGCTGGTGGGGAACAAGGTTCCAGGGGAGGTTAGCAGCTGTGTAGGGCTTGATATGGTAACAGGTACTTAGGTAATGCTAATCACAGGAGACAGTCTCGAGATGGATTCTCTCTTCTCCAATGTGCCCTCCCATTTGGTCCACACAGTTCCACAAGGACCTCCATGGATCTAGTCACCATGACAGCTTGTTCCCCAGGGACTCCAACTACTGGATGATGGCAACATCAAGTTCTCATTCCATCCTGTCCACAGTCACTCCTTCTCACAGCCAGTGTCTCACCCAAACAGGACAGCACCCGGCACCGACAAAGACCAGAAAGAGCCATGAGCATAGCCTCTCACCTCGTCATCCACGGGCGAATTCGCATCCAGTTTCTGAACCGCCGACTTGCCGCTCTCTTTTAACAGTTTCTCTCGTACTTTGGTTTCATACTCAGGCCGGGAGTGTTCCTACACCAAAGAGTCAGTAAACAGAGTTAGTAAACAGGAGGGAGAGTGACCTGGGCCTGTGGATCAGAACCAGACACCATAAGTACATCAAACTGGGTTCAGGCATGGACACTATCAGACATGACTTGCCACATGACACAGTTACGAGGACTCTATGTCAGGAACACAAGGCTGCAGGGAGAAATGAGACACACAACACTTATTGTCACACTGAGAACCAAACCTTGGAACGTTCCTGGGGTTGGTGCCGGTGTTGAGAAAGGAGAGAGAAGATGTTAACCTGGCAGCCGATACAACAAGAAGCTCTATGTTTTGTAGAACAAACTGACAAAGAGAAAGGAATAGCACCGCCCCACCCCCCACTCTCCTCATACCTCAAGCTCACTTACAAGGAGCCCAGACCCTCCTGGAAAGAGTTGTACCCCACAGCTGGGAGTTTGGGGAAGCAACAATACTTCTCTATTCCATGATTCTGCAGGCTAAAATAGTAGCCAATAAACATCAAAGCCAAGGTGGTCATGGGAGAATCTTAAAACTCACTGCCTGGACCCATCTACATAGCATAGGTGAGCAACTCACTGGTAAATACAGCAGTAAATACTCAGGAGACATCATTCGGCTACTCTGCCAGTCCAGCCTGGATTATCACTCACCAGGCATGAGAAAGAGCTCCCAACAAGTCAAGTCATATCACTACAGACACTGGGCCAGTAAGATTCATAGCTTACTTCAAAGGGGACTTAGCAGTGGGCAACAGGCCTCTCTTGACAGGCCTTCCCACAGTGGCTAGCTCCAAGATGAATTCCTAAGGTGTGAGGATTTCATGATCCCATTTGTTTTCTAAGCACGGCTCCTAAGGAGACTTCCAAACAGAGCCAGCTTCTAGAGAGATTCTTCCGATTCGTGGAATTTGGTGTCAGACCTCTAAGCACAGATGCAGGTGACAGAGGGTTCTGCTGTTCCAGAAGCACACACTTCTTTGTTATCACCCATATGTCAAAGACACAGAGGCCAACTTGTGAGACACCTGGCTACTCTGGTTTTCCTGACAAACTGTGGCACTGGAGAAACTGCCAGTGGTTAAGGAGCGTAGTATATCATGGTGGGTAATGACATTCGGTGCCTTTGCAGGCCCTCCGCCATCACACAGTCTTCAAAGGCACACCAGACCCACCCCTTCCGGGAGTCTGTCTCTGCGATGTACCTACCAGGCAAATTCGTCTCCAATTTCCTAGAGTTTTATAACTTACACCACACACTCCAGGCACACTGTAGCCAT